TAAGTTGGCACTTTGAGCTCAATAGCCCCAGCCAGGATCTCTGGCAGGCCCCAGGCTGGCCTGAAGTTAGAACGCAGGAGTGCATAGGGTCCAGGGCAGCGTGATGCCTTTCACCCTGGGCAGGCAGAGATACCAAGGGGCCCGCCCATGCTTTGGCTAACCCCGGAGCCTCAGGAGTCAGGGCCACCGTATCTCTATCAGCATCTTTGAGAATCTTCATCCAAAAGCATTGTTCCCTCTTCAGCTTCTCTTTCTTGTCTCAGGCCTGGATCTCGTTTTTGCTTTCGACTGCCATAGTCTCGCGGGGTTGCATTTCTGGAGTGTGGGTGCTCCGCTCGTTCCCCCATAGGGCATGAGTGTGAGCCTCCCCCAGGTGCTCTGTGGCTCCCTGTAACACCGTGTCAGGAGATGGAAGATGTGACTTGGTTGCTTTAGTCGATAATGTACAGAGGAAAGTTACGAAGAACCGTGGTTGTGGCCTGGCATTTTCTGCAGGGCCAGTTCCTCATTTGGAGCCTTAATTGTGTCTTTATTTAAGCCAGGGCTGCTTTCTTTAGTCAGACAGATGGCCCTGAAGCCTCCATTTGATTTCCAGCTTTTGCCTTTCCTACGAGGATCTAATTCCAAAAACCTTTTCTCGTGATCTGAGGAGTCTCACAGAGATGAGGCCCTGCCCCAGGGTGGGCTCGGGAACAGAGGCTTCACAGTGGGAGAAACACAAAGGGGAAATGTGCTCTGGTCTTATTTCACTGCAGACCTCAGCACTGCAGGGCTCGGATGCTCGCTGAGTGCAGACACTGAGTGTCTTGTGAAACCTCAGAGGGCCGAGGGGTTCCCTCAGGGCCTGGTGGGGCCTCCACACCATGATTGGCTCATTCTTCCCACTGTGGGTGCAGGAGGTTCAAAGTGTTGGAAAGGCTGTGTGTGTAGGAATGGTACATACCAGTGGGAATGTTAGCATATACCGGGTATCTTGGGGAATAAAAGGCCCTGGCCAACCTAGAGCCAAGCAGGAGCTCTGCTGGTTTGCCCATGTGGAGTTGGACCAGGGAAACCTGCCAGCGGTCAGGGTGTACTGGGGCCTGGCACCCTGGAAAGCTGTCAGTACATGACATTCTGGCCTGGCCGCCACTGGCTTAGCTTCACAGATGGGGCTCAGAAAGCAAGATGGGCCCTGATCTGGTCTGAAGGTAAAGCACGAAATTAGTCAGGGTTCCTTCTTTGTCAGCGCCAGAGGCCATCCCCAGCTAACTCACCCCAAGAGAGAACTCCCTGGAGCACGGGGAGAGCTCTCAGGGCTGGAGAGGAGGGGGCCAGTCGGGCCCCAGAAAGGGCATGACTGGAGCAGCTGGGAGGACTTCAGAAGCAGGTGCCCACGGGCAGACTGAGAGCCTCCCTGCTGGGTGGATCAGGCCCAGCTCTGTGGTTCAGGAGTCAGCCATGGAACCAGTGTCTAGGCCTGAGATCTGGGCCTAGCCCGGGGCCAGGGGAGGTGGAGGCACCTTGTTTGACAGTCCCACTAAGACATGATCCAGTGAGGGTGAAGGTATCCCAATTCAAAATTTGGGGTGCTGCTGACAGAAGAAGGGGGCCGCACTACTGGGCTGCGCAGTTTCATCTCTTCAGTGAGGAGCAAGCAGTGGCTCGCCTGGGATGGGGAAATGGAGAAGTCGTTCCTTCGAGTTGGAAAATCATAGTGTGCACCATTGCTGGTTCGTGGGAACCCTTAGGTAGAGGGCTGGAGACCGGCATGAGGAGGCCAGGCCAGCCTGCGAGGTAGCTCTGACTCTCAGGCTGGCCTCTCAGCCCTTCCCCACTGAGGTTTGACTTTGCGTGAGGCCAGCGATTTTGGGAGACAGTAACTTCTGCCCAGTGAAAATCCATTTCTGTTGCCTGACATCCACTGGGTGTGCGGCCTCAGGAGTGGGACAGGCTGGCGCTGACAGGTGCCTGTAGCTGTGGTGCCTGCTGTCGGCTGTGAAGTTGAAACCAAGACAGCCCTCCATTCTCAGGAAGCTTCTGTTCCCATGGAGCAGAGAGTCAGTACAGGAACAGATGTTCCAATACCTGCCATGTTCATTAAATGAGGCGATGGGAGAGAGAAAAGTGGGTGGGAGGCACCGCTTTAGCCAGGATGGTCCAGCAAGGCCACTGAGGAGGCCACGGGGCAGGAACAGCGCAGAGCGTGCTGCGTGAAGATCCCGGCACAAAGCCCCTGAGATGGTAGTGACTGGCCTGGCGCCACTGGGTGGTGTGAGTGAGGAGGGGAGGACCAGAGCAAGATTGGGGGTACTCAGGTTGGCTCATGTGGAGCACTGTGCACTGTGGAGGAGAGGTAGTGGCCGGGATTTGATTCTGGTTATGGTGGGAAGTTGTTGGAACAGGATGACATGGTCCGATCTCTGCTTTAAGAAGATGGCTCTGGGTTCTGGGTGGAGGGTGGGAAATGGGGGCCCAGGGTACAGGCTGTAAGAGCGGTTAGGAGGGGCGTTCACTGGGGCTGGCAGTGGCTGGGATCGGGGCCAATGGTGGGGTGGCGAGGAGTCTGTTTTCCAGGTTGGAAATGGCAGGCCACTCTGGGGACCTGCTGCAGATGCTAAGTCCTCACTGAATGAATGAATGAGAAAGTCGAGTGAATGTATGAACGAGTGCCTGGGGTGCGTGTGTGCTGGCCCAGTGCTGTTTCTGTGGGCAGACAGACCCCGGCATCTCTGGCAGTGTTCCTTGTGACGGCCTGGGTCAGAAGGGCCCTGAGGTCCCTCTTGGTCTAGAACATGCCAGCTTGGTGAGAGGCGGCCAGCAAGCACTGTTCTGCTGGCCAGGCAGGGGGCGGCTCGCTATGTGGCTTCCTGCTTTGGTGTGGAAAGCCCCAGCCCCTCCTGCATGCGTGCCAGTGAAGCACACAGGGTGCTCCAGTGTTCCTGCTCTCTCTGCTCTCCCCAGCCCCCATCCTGGTGTGGCCTCTGTGGCCTCCCAGCCTGGGTTGCCTTCTCCTACCTGGCAGGCATGGACTGGGGGCCGGGGTTCCCCAGGGGGTGTTTTCCTTATGCCCAGGTGTTCCCTTAGTGCTGGGAGCCACCTCCCTTGGCAAGCCAGACCCTGGCCCGACTTCCCTCTCTGAACCTGGGAACTGGGGGCCTGCCTGGCATCCACAGGCTGAGCTCTCGGCTGTGCAGGCAGCGCAGCCCCAGCAGCAGGGCTCTCATGCGCTTGTCATCCACTTTCCATTGCATGACTTTGGTGTGGTCTCAGCTGCACCTCTCAGCTGGGATTGTGTGGCGGGGGATGGGAGGAAGCAGGTGCAGCCGTTTTGAATTCTTCCCAGATATTTCCACAGATGGTGGTAGAGGGGATGGTTACATCACTGTGGAATCCAGGAGGGTGACCGAGTGTGATGATACTGTTAGGATCATTTTAAACTGAGGAGGGCGACCTGTAGGAGGACTGCCCCGTTCCCCTTCAGCCCTAGAAGCTCCTGTGGTCCTCAATACCAGTCTAGGCATCCCTCCCAGGAGGCCGCCCCGGTGTCCACCCCCATCCCAGCACACTTGCCCTGGACATCCCCTCCAGCCCCGATCTCCCCGTGGTTTGTCTGTGACTGTCTTCCATGAAGTGTGAGTCCTCCTTCACCTCTGTGTCCCCAGGCTGGTCAGGATGGACCCTTAGTAACCCTGTGGGATGAACACAGTGTTGACCTCGTGCAGAGGTCCCTGGATTGGGTAGATGGGGATGAGGTGAGGGAGCTGGTGCCAGGTGCTTGCCACCCTCTTACCTGGATGGGCCAGGTGTTCCCAGTCAGCTCCACCGTCCTGCCAGGCCTTAAAGAGCCAGAACCTGGGCCCTCGTCCACTTACCAGCCTGGAAGCCTTGTCTGTTTGTGTCATTTTGATGGGGAGTGTTGGGGGTTCCTTTCAGAAGTTAGAGCCTTCTGTGACAAGCTCATTTCTCTGGGCCTGAGAGCTCCTTTCACCATTGTACGATCAGCCCCCAGCACAGCCCGCCCAGAAAGAATCACCACCCCGTGCCCACTGAGCAAGTGGGCGAGTGAGTGAGGGAGCCTCGGAGCACTTGAGGCAGAGCTGCTTCCTGGGGCTCTGGCTGGGTAGTCTCTGCTCATGAGAGGACCAGGCAAGCCTCTTGACCTGGGTATCACCTAGCATGAGGAACCCCCAGAATATTCTACACCCAGCTTACTGTGTAGCCATGGAGCAAGTGCCCTGGATTTGGGGTTCTTCTAGGCCTCGTTGGCCTATTTTCTGCCCAGTGGCCATAGCGTTCAGTTGAGGGTAGGCGGGGGGCATCAGGAAAGATGTAGAATGTTTACAGTGGAAAGGAAACTATTGTGGAAATACAGTGCCAAGGAGTTCAAAAGCCATCGCTGTTATGTTGAGACCAAGTATAACCCTTGAGTTTCTGTTTCAGTTCAGAGAAAATGCCTCAGGGGGCCTCAGTGTAGCCACAAAACAGTCTGCAGAGCAGAGGCCAGCCCTTCTGAGCTCTCCCCATGCTTCTCACCAGAGCAGGAGAGCTGTTCTCCCTGGATCTGGAAGGGAGGGGTCTCGGAGTCGGACCTGGGGCCCTCTGCTCCCTACTTGAGGTTCTTCGTGTCCCCAGGGAGGTCCCCTCCTCTTTTGGTCTCTTCTCAGCCCAGCTCAAGGAAGCTTGTTCCACTGTTTACCATCCATCCTGCCCCTGGGCCGCCTCCACATCTCTTATGTGGAAAAATCCCCTCATGTCAGAAGTGATGGGGCTTTCTGTGTGTTTTCAAAGCCCATTAACTCAATGGACTCCATAACTCACTAGAGACTTGGGACAAAAAGTCTGGGCCTAATTCTGTGCAGATGTTTTCTCTTTGAATACCTTTTCCTCCTTTCCCTGATCTGACATTGGCAAAGGACAGTCACCCTTTTATTGTGACTTTAGAAGGGATCAGTAGAGAGTCAGTGCAAAACATGCTTCCTATGATTTGAAGAGTGAATAGCTTTTCTGGTTGTTTTCAGCACACGCCAAAGAAGATGAGTCAAGGACCTACACTTTTCTCTTGTGGAATTATGGGTAAGTACTCAAGGCCGTCCTGGAAGCTGTCCTCCTAGTCCTTCCAGCCAGGGTCTGAGTCCTCCAGGTGAGACGCTCAAAGCACTTTCTGGACACAAGTTCAAAAAGAGCAGCCCCGGGACTCTTCTGTGTGTTTTAACTATTTTGGTCCCCTATGGCGCCTGAGTGAAGGGACGGGCACTAATGTGTGGTTTACAACTCCAACACTGAGAATTTCTGTCTGATGATTAAAGTAATTCATGTTGATTTTTTTTCATTCAGAAAATGCACAATAGTGTAAAGTATGCAGTAAAAATCTCTCATAGCCCCAATGCCCAGGGAGAGTTACTGTTGATGTTTTTGTGTATGTTTATGTTCTTAGCATTTTTTATATAGCCCACTGCACGATGAACATATAATTATGTAAAACTATATTCGTTTGCTTTTTTCACTTGGAGTAGTTACCATCATCTTCCCACAGCATTAAAATTGTTCATTCCATGCATGTTAATGGTTTACAGTGCCGCATTGTGTGGTAAGTGTGTCAGGATGTCTTTAGTGATGTAACTACATCTAGGCTGGTGGATCAAGGGGCTGTTTTATTTGCTGTTGTGATGAACAGTGACTGTGTAAGTGCCTAACTCCTTGTCTGCCTTTGAGATGATTTGCTAGGATAGTTTACAGGAGTGGAATAGACAGGCTGGAGGGCAGGGACATTTTTAAGGCTCTTGATTCATTTTGCTGACATGCCTTCCAGAGGAGATTGCCTTGATCTTCTGTTTCTGTGCAAGTGTGAATTACTGTTTTTTGTAGGGGGCAAAAAAGATGACCATTGATTATGTTGATTTCTTGATGCCTCAGGTGATTGGGCATTGTTTGACCTCTCAGTGTCCCTCTGTGGCTCTCCTTGCCCACCTTTGGGGACGTCTTGCCGGATGAGTTTCTGTAATGTCTGTGTGGACTCAGAAACCACTCTTGGATGATGGATGACGACTGTGGGCTTTCAGATTCGAAGGTTACTTTGGTCAGACCTCAGAGTTTCCCTTGCCTTTCCTTCTCGGTCCTTCCTGCACGTGAGGTGTTTTGTTTTTCTTCTTCAGATACAGTTGCTGTAGATGAGGCGATATGTTAGATTGAGCCCTGTGCCAGGCTTCGTACATGCCGGGCCCCGCTGGCTCTGCCAGCGGCTTCATGCACATATGGGAGAACTGAGGTCTAGTGAGGTGGCCCTCTGCAAGCTCCCTCAGTAGGCAGAGTTGGACTCAGGTGGGCGATGAAGGGAGATTGTTTTCTTCTCAACCATATGCCATGGCTCTGGGACATGTGGCGGTGCTCTTGATGCTGCCGCTGAAGAAGATGGAGACAGGGAGATCAGCTGGCCCTGGTTTTCTGTATGACATACTTCGGAGGCCCGTCCCCACAGGATTGAATACCTCCCCCATGGTTTACGGCTTTCAGCAAACCCTCAGTGCCCCAGACACATAGCTCAGAAGCCTGCCTCATTGCCTGCTTCCTGGGACAGCCTCACCTTTGAGCTTCCTTCCTGTGTCATGCTGGGAAAGAGAGAGAGGCCCTGGCATGCCCAAACCTTCAACCCTGCCTAAACTTTAGCTGTCAACCGGGCCAGACCAGTAAACTGGGTTGTGGAGATGTTGGTCTTTATTTCAAGGATTTCTAGTCTTTGCACTATGTAAGTTATAATAAGGTGAATGTGTGGTGGGTTTGTGATGGCAGAGAGACTCACCCTTGTAGGGGCAGGTCTTGAGGCCCAGAGACCAAGGCAGAGGCCCCGGGGAGAGGAGGTCTGTGGGGAAAAGCCCAGATGGCCCAGGAGAATCTATCGGAGGCTGCGGAGCCCAGCAACCTGCTTTCTACCGGGGAGGCCGTGGTTTCCAGGAGGGACTACGCTGTGTCTCCAGACTCCTGTTTACAGAGTGACTCTTTAGGAAGTGCTGGCGGGGTCCCAGTGCCTCCGTCCCAGGCTCTTCTCCTCTTCAGCATGGTCCTGTCTTCCTTCTGCTCTGTGGGACAGTGCCAGGGCACTACGAGGCAGCAGAGGGAGAAGCGGGGAGCCGTTGTACTGGTGGGAGGTCTTTGGAGTCCCCTCGTTCTCCTCTGCTGCTGTCTGTCTATGGGCCTCATCTTTCTGTTGCTCAGCCCCTCCCTGATTCAGGAAAACCCTGACCTGCATGGCTGTGCCTCACTGAGGTGTTTCACTGACCGCATTTTGTTTCATTTGCAGTGACGTGCTGTCATAGATACGACTTGAGCACCTGCTGTGTGTCAGGCACCTGGTGAGGGATAGAGTGGATCAGACCCTGCCCCTTCCCTCAGGGAGGTTTCTGTCTGGTGGAGGAGAAAGATCAATGAACAGTGAATTCCGCGCTGCTTAGGCCAACTTCCACGAGATGTGGAGGCCCTTGAACTATGGGGATACCACCCCGTCTTCCTGGCTAGGTTTCCTCACCTTGCAGATTGTGGGGATTTAAGGTGACGGCCACACACTAGCGCACATCCTCCCTCCTGCCTCTGTCCCTTTCCTGCACTTGCTGGGAGAGAGGGGTCAACAGTCAGGAGCCTTACCCTGTACACTCTGTCTAGTGGAAGCTCAGGTTACCTCCCCAGCCCTTCTGGTGCTCCGTGAACTGGGAGTGCACCCCAGGCAGCAAGATTTCATCAGAGGTGTACCTGCTTTTCTTTTCTTTTCTTTTCTTTTTTTTCTTTCTTTTTTTTTTTTTTTTTTTTTTTTTTTTGAGACAGTCCCACTGTCGCCAGGCTGGAGTACAGTGGCATGATCTTGGCCCACTGCAACCTCCACCTCCTGGGTTCAAGCAGTTCTCCTGCTTCAGCCTCCTAAGTAGCTGGGATTACAAGCGTGTGCCACCACGCCCAGCTTATTTTTGTATTTTTAATAGAGACGGGGTTTCATCATGTTGGCCAGGATGGTCTTGATCTCCTGGCCTCGTGATCTGCCTGCCTCAGCCTCACAAAGTGCTAGGATTACAGGCGTGAGCCACCGCGCCTGGCATGCCTGCTTTTCAACAGTGGGGAAGAGAATACTCTGAGGGGCCGGCTGGACTTTTCAAGAGGGTTTTGGGCCCTTCTAGCTCTTGACAATGCTGTGCAAAGATAAAACACCAAATTATCATAATCACCAACCCCCAGCCTGTCTCCTGAAGATAAAAGATTCATGTTCTGGTGCTGATCAGTGGAATTCTCCCATGAGAGCTGGGGACAGTTAGTCCTGTGACTCAGGATTTTTTCCTCCTGAGCCCCATGCCAGGGTCCTCGCTGGAAGCCAGTATGAGTTCAAATTTCCCGAATGTTCTGCAGAAAATCTGGGCAAGTGCAGTAGAGCAAGGAGCACAGCACCCTGGTCACTTCTTAAAATGCCACTGTTTCAAGTAGCTCAGCCTCCTCTGCACCCACTTAGATAAAACACGTAACTAATATAAATCGAATACTCACAACAATGCCTTTTTAATTTTATTTATTTTTTTTGTTTGTTTTTTTTGAGATGGAGTCTCGCTCTTTCTCCTAGGCTGGAGTGCACTGGTGCAGTCTTGGCTCAGGGCAACCTCCACCTCCTAGGTTCAAGCAATTCTTCTGCCTCAGCCTCCCGAGTGGCTGGAATTACAGGCGTCTGCCACCATGCCTGGCTAATTTTTGTATTTCTAGCAGAGATGGGGTTTCACCAAATTGGTCAGGGTGGTCTTGAACTCTTGACCTCAGGTTATCCACCCACCTCAGCCTCCCAAAGTACTGGGATTACAGGTGTGAGCCACCGCGCCTGGCCTATGCTTTTTATTTATTTTTTTAATTAAAAGCACTTCACGCCCTGTGATTGCAAGCTGGATACCAGGCCCCTCCCCACTCTTATCCCCTACCCCAGTTTAGGAACTTGATACAGAGAAGTGGTTTTGTGCTTCTCAGTGTGGAAGAGAGAACAAAGCCAGCATGGAGTGTGGATGGGAGAAGCAGAGAGGGTAGAGCTGAGCACTGCCCAGCCAGCCCTGCACCAGGATTGAGTGCCCCTTATTAGGGTGCCAGCTCAGTCCCCACCACAGGGCTCCTGCCAGCAGAGGCTGTTTTGACTCTTGGCTTCCTTTCTCATCTCCCAGAGCATCCCCAGCTCACCTTCTTTGCTGAAATGGAATTTCCTCTACAAAGCTGCTCTGGGAAAGAGCCATTTATAAGACTGGTTCTTGTGCTCTCAACACAGGAAACATAGGTCAGGTGGCAGCTCCGTGGTGCGGCCCACCCACTGGTCAGCCGACTGGGCGAGGGAGCCAGCCCTTGCTCCTGACTCTGATTTCTAGTGGGTACAAAGAGGGGCCCGGGCTGTGGCTGAGAGTCATCCTGTGTGGGGAGAAGCAGGGCCACATGTGGACTCTCAGTCCAGGCTCCCTCCACATCTTCTGCCATTTGCAGTGGGGGACCCAGGGTCACACGTGTACTAGTTTAATCTTTTTTGGTGAAACAGGCAAGTGGAGTGAATGCAGTCTCCATTCACCACCCTTGGCTAATTGCAGCCATTCAGTGCATTTGTATTGTAGGGACAATGGGCACCACACATTCCATTTTCCTCAGCACTCAGGCGAGGAGGAGACCTGGAAATCACTCATATGTAAGAAAGCGAAGGCAATACCAATTATTTTAAAAAGGCTACTAGGAAAAGTCTTGTAAATACAAGTCAGTGGACAGAGAACAAAACAATTCATGTGCTAAAAAAAATTGGATGGAAACCCATAATTACTTTAGGAGTTATGGTAATAAATTATTTATTAATGTAAATTATTTCACAGGCAAAGAACATAGAGGAAACTTGAGCAGAAGGATCATACATTATGTATAAAAAGGAATTGTAAAAATATTATAGCAGCCCTCCTTGTGCCGCCCCAGTTCAGGTTTGTCCGCATTTTAATTATAAGCTCTTACTTTCAGGGTTTAATTACTTGGCTGTTAAAGTCTACTCTGTACATAAAAGGGTTGTTCCCTGGGGCACTCTCTGTATTAATTTC